AGTCTCCTATAAGTGAGTATTGGATGAAACTAATTACAACTCACCCTTTGCCCCATAATAAGAGATATCTACGGTGTGAACTCTAAAGAAACACAAGATAGATGGCTCCATATATGAAATCTTTGATTTTGCTCCTAGCCATATGGGTTTCAATAATTATTGAAAGGTAAGGGCGATTCTCCACCTTTTACAAAAACTATAACTGTGCAAATCATCAACGAGTTCAATCACCACCAAGCCTTGACTCTTCAATGCAAAGATAAGAATAGTGATATTGGAGAGGCGACTATCATCTATAGAGCTCAATATTTGTTCAATTTCACAACAAATCCAATTATAAGGAGAACCTTGTTTTTCTGTAGCTTCTTGTGGCCATCAACTTCGCTTCATTATTTTGATACTACCTCTAGTCCTTAATATAAGACTCTGTTTGACTTTTATTTTGGTCCTAAATAACTAACTCAACTCACTTTCTTAATCTCTTCAAATTAATCAACTGACTTTTATAATTAGGATCGGAAGTAGTATATATGTACAGAAACGAGACAAGTGCCGTTTATGTGTTTGGAGAATATATGAAAATGGTCCTTGCAACGTTGGTGGACTTTGCTATCCTTGGAACTGTCAAACACACTATTCAACGGTTAGTCCTCTTAGTTTTGTTGCAACTGATAATAAAAATAATAATATCAACAAAACTCAACCTCATCTTTAATGTAATAGTCTTGTTTATTATGATAAAGTATAAGAGTGATATCAATCCATGAGTCAAATTTATTTTCGTTTAAAGGACCCAAATTAATGTGGCATGAACTAAATAATCAATTTATCAATAAGTTCATGAGCTAAATATATTTGATATATTATTTTAGAGAACTTTATTTGATTATCGTAATCCTTTTTGCTTGATAATTGCGAGCATTCGAAGAAAAATGAGAGTTCAATGGAGTCTAATAATGGCTGTGAGCATCTCTCTATTAATCTTGGGTCTAACCACATCAAGCTTAAAACCTTGATTGTTGTAATATTTCATTTATTCCATCCTAGTATTAGCTATATTTTTGGGTTTTCTAGCACTACAAAAGAACAGACTTTCAGCGGCGACTTTTTTTGTCACCGCTGAAAGTTCGCTACTGAAACTAAAAATTTTGTCGCCGTTGAAAGTCAGTTTTTTTGTAGTGTAAGTGTACAAAGGTGTTGGGTTTTGGTTAGCATTAACATCTCGTTGACATGCTACAATGAGTAGCGAAATTCAATGTTTCCCTTCTAATTCATTTTTCATGTTCATATGTTTTGAATTGGTTTAGTGAATTTAAATTAGTTAATAAATAGGCTGGACTACCTAAACCAGTCCACGAATCCAGACAACCAAGTTTCATCTAACCCAACTTCGACTTTCTTCTGGACTACACCAGACAATAAGTTGTCTTATTCCACTTGAGGTCTTGTATCCAAATCGGACCTCAAGTTAACGAGTAGCTCAGTCTGATCTGACCTTTGCACACCACCACTGAAAATGATCTAAATTAAGATAAACTGCTCCTTGCTATTTATGAGCTTGAAATGTGCTCCTTCATAATCAACTATTTATTTTGAAAAAAAAAAACTGTAAAAGTTTGGTCATCCTTACATACCCTACGCATAGTTTAACATATTTACTATATTCATTACACATATTCAAATTATATATAGATGTTAATACCTGAAGTATTTTTATGAATTTTTTATGTTGATAATGTAATTTAATGAAGAAATATATTTTTAAAGTCACAGATACTACAACTTGTATCTCAACCTATAGATTGATGCCTCAGATCTTCAGAGATTAATTTTATATATCGTTGTTATTGCGTACACGAATGAAAGCAATTATGAATAATTCTTCCCATTAAGAACGTGAATGACAGAGTAGGATTACTCAACGTGACAGCCTCATTGAAAATTTGAAAAAAATGGAACTCCTAATAATACTCCTCCAATTCTTAATATAGGACCTAATTATTAAATTTGTTTTTATCCTAAATATAAGACCCATTTCTCATATTTATCAATTTTTTTCTAAATTATCCCTATAGATACTCCCTCAACCATAATGAAGTAAAAGAGGGAGATGTGGTATTAAGAAAGATGATTACGATATTTTAGGAAAAATGTGTCACATTTCTTATAATTAACTAACTTACCTAACTTTTTTAATATAATCAAATTAGTTAAATAGCTCTTATATTAAGGATCAAAAGAGTATATATTAAACTACTATGTCATTGTTTTATGCCCAATAATAATACCCCCCGTGTTTTCCTTGACAATGATCTCACATGTTAACTAAACACAGAGTCAGTTTTAAGAACACAATGGCATATTAATTAATTGTTCTTTATGGCATATTGTCGACATTAAAGAAAATGCTTTAGGACACGATCAACTGAGCTGTTCCTTCACATCACATGCATTCATATATTTTTGTATTTCGAATTCAATTTGTCTAGCAGACACTCACTCTCTCTCTCTCTCTATATATATATAGAGTGTTTGTGCGTGGTGTGTCTGAATTAGCCCACATGGGCAAGTGGTATTCATAATATACCCATATTATTCATGTACGTTGCCAAAAGTTTAATAATAATAATAATAATAATAATAATATAATTTTTTATCTTTCAAATTTGCCTATAATTTAACAAAAATTTAGATCATTTTGCTCCTTAATGAAATAAAACATATTATTTGAAATTTGTGGGACTAAAACAAAAATATGTACAAATTTGAGAGATCAAAGATTTTATTAACCTTAATAATGATGATGATGATGATGATGATGATGATGATGATAAAATATTGGTTGTATAAAAAGGAAGCATTATGTGAGAAGTCATTGACAAAGGCAATCCACCTTGACAACGAGTGAAAAATATCCATTAATGTATCCCCCGCCATTTCAATTTTCAGCTCACAAGTCACAATTCAACTTCTCGTCCATTTAATTATTTTTTTTAATTCAATAGACTTTATATTCTTTCCTAAATTTATTCAAATTACATTTTTTATTTTTCTAATCTTATATGAATGTGTCCCATAAAATGATTTATTTTTAATATTTTTAGTCTGAGTTTCGTTTTTTATTAAAAGATTCTAGGTTTCAAAATGCATTGTTGAAAAAATATATATACTTCAACGGATGGAGGATTTTTTTTTTCATTAAAAAATTTCGAATTACACTAAAGTGTTGGTGACTTCTTATTTCAAGAAAAATTGTGTATGTTTTTAAAACAAATGACTAATTTTAATAAATTTATTCACAATTTTTATGAATCCAAATATTTAAAAAAAAATGTACTTAGTTAAGGAAAAACCATATTGAGGTATCTATACTTTCTTTCAATTTTTAATTTGGTACCTATGTGTTTTTTTCTCTCAATTAAATCATTTCATTTTACATTTTTAGCAACATTAGCTATTGTGATTTTGTTTTGTTAGTATTAACGATTTTCATAAGACAAAATTAAAGATTTAATTAAAAAAAACACATAAATGCCAAATTGAAAATTTTAAAAGAATGTATAGGTACCCGATTTTTTCTTTATTAAATTTTGCATGGTTTTTGTAGTGATCATGCCTCCACTCAACATACTTCCTTTTGTATGCTCCCTCTTTTTCTTTTTTCTCTGCATAAAAGATTCAAATTTTTGAATTAACCCCATCCTTTTTATAAGACACGGTTTGGAGTTATCTAAAAATTAAAAGCGCTAACTTCAAACAACAAAATGCAGTATTATCAATTTTATCCCTAATTAATTGTATTATTTTTTTCCATACATTTTTTAATCTTTTTTCCCTCACTGTTTCTCTGTCTCACCAACTTTTTTTATTAGTAGTGAAAGTAAACCAGGTTTTTATTAGGAGCTTACAACCTAACTTATAAAAAATCTAGCTTAGCCTATTTAGTAGGCTCATATTCATGTCTGTTTATGTAAATAGACCGAGCCTAATTCCATAGGCCTGGCGTATTTAATTTTTTAAAATTTGCTCTATTATATATGATATAATATAAATTAATTTTATAAATTATTTATAAAATTGCAAATTTTAGTTTGAACATAAGTTTCATGTCACAACATTTTTATATAAGGTTAGCTTCCTTTCCTTCATCAATCATTCACCCCACCTTTATTCTTCTTGATCGCTTAAGATGACAATATTAGCTCACCTCTTCTTCTTCAATTTATGTTATTGGCTAAAGCAGCACAATAATTATTACATTTTTTTTCTTCGAGTGATGCCTGAATAAAATATTAATAGAAAGAGTTTGCCACAATTTATACGGAAAAAAAGATAAAATCTATTTTTACATATCACTTGTTGTGTTTAGCTAATTTTAAAAAATATATCTATTTAATTAACAAATGATTAGTTTTTCTTATTCCTACTTGATTCGACAATTGTTGCCACCTTGTATTCTTTTCTTTTTATTACTAAACTCTCACATTACAAGTGAGAATAGATTATAGACTTTTAAGATATATTATAGGCTATTAAATAAATAAATAAATCTAAAAGGTTATATATAAACTTAAAGTCATAGACTTTTAAGCTTATTTAAAAGTTTACATTTTAAGTAGGCTTTTAAAAAAATTTTAGACTTCAAAAAAAAATCTGTATGCAGGCAGACCTAGATTCATTTTTATCTGAAAAAAATTTTAAAAAAAATCTGGAGGAGATGGAATCCATTTGTGGCTAATATTAATTGGGAAAAAAAGAAGAAGTTAAAGTGGGGTGTGATATCAATGGGCATATAAATGAAAGCACCGACCAAATTGACTCGTCAAACAATGCTGAACCACCATGTGGGCCAAGCCCTGCTCATGGTCATAGATTTTTTTTAATAATTATTATTAATATATTTTTATTTTTATTATTTCCGCCAAATTTTGTGGTCTTTATGATTGCCTGAGAGAGACATGTGGAAGACACACACGCTTACGATCTGACAACGACCCTACCTTCCCTGGATCCGGATCCCCTCAGCGGCCATTTTCTCAGCGTCCATCAGAATCTTTAAATCCTGTCCGTTAAGATAATCATATGGCTCATGGTTTGCCACATCATTAGACTATTATTATATGCATCTGAACCATTTTATTTCCAATAAATCTCAGGCGTCCATTTCCAGGATCTTCACAGCATGTTTAGAGCGCATCAAATGCGAAGAGAGCGTCGACCTCCGGCAGACCGTAGCTAAGAGTCGAACAGAGCCTCAAATGCAAACACATTCAGATAAAAACTGTTTCTTTTATCCATAAAACATGATAACCTTTGATTTCTTTTCAATAGCCAATGTCAAAAAAAAATCTCTATTATAGGAATGGATTTTATCTCCATTATAGGAATGGATTTTAGTTTGAACAGAAAAGAAAACAGAACCGGATGAAACTAGAAGTCCAATCAATGAGCACTAGAGAAATAAATTACTCCCTCCGTTCCTTATTATAAGAGACATTTGATACTTATGGCATGTTCCTATATATAAGAGACACTTAAAAGTTTTCTTTACTTTTTTATGTTGATTTCCTATTTTACCCATATTTATTATCTCCCTCCCACTTCTCTTTCTTTTAATAATTTAATTGTTCTCTCTCATGCTCTCTCCTTATTAATGAGGGTATTTTTGAAAAAAAAAATTATACTTTTTACACATTAATTATTCTTAACTAATTCTAACTGTTTTTTTTATCAACGTACTTTGGTTATTTGTCTCTTATAATAAAGAACGGAGGGAGTACTAAAGTAGAACGAAGAGATTGATCATAACAAAAGACGAAGATGAATTTAGGATAAACTTTGCATTAGATCAAGCAGAAAACCAATGACAAACTCCTGTCCAGAGGTTGGAAAAATTCTCTCTCTAAAGACACCGAATCTCGTTCATATACTTAGAAAGCATTCAGCCAATTTTTTCAATATGGATAATTTTTTATTTTTCCATTTTCTTAAAAGAAAAAACCCAAAGCCCACTCATAATAACAAAAATGGTTTTGCAGATGATACTTTCGTTTGAGCTTCCCTTTGCTTTGATCCCCCTGTTCAAGTTTAGCAGCAGCAACACCGAGATGGGACCTCACAAGAATTCTATGGAGATTGCCTGACTATAAGCACTCAACAGTCAAAGAATGAGGAAGAGAGGGATAGAGAAGAAGGGCGGAGATAGAGAGGAAGAGGTGTAAGGTAGATTAGGTAATGACGGAGCTTCCCATCTGCGTCGGAAATCCCTGTTTAGGTCACCGAAGGAGTTTGACTTCAACGAGTCGACCGTGGAATGGATTTGGCAAACAGGACGTGATGGCCGAGCCGCGATTACAGAAGCTTCGTGATGTGGCTTTTTGTGAGCTCTTAGATGAATTGGATGGATAGGATTTAAAGATTCTGAGGGACGCTGAGAAAATGGCCGCTGAGAGGATCTGGATCCTACCTTCCTTCTCGCCTGTGATAAGTATAAATCTTTTAAATTTATTACCATCGCATCAGAAAGTGTGAAGTGTGAACCAATTTTAATAATATTTAAAATCAGATTTTACCTTCAAAATAAGTTTGGTATTAAAATCGAATTAAAAAATATTAAAACAATATCTGTTAAATTTTAAAATAATATAACGATAGTCAATATTATTATAAAAATATTTAGCATGAATGATTAATTTTTTTAAATTCAGTCTATATTTTTTATATTTTTAATTCAAATTTAGTTTTTGAGTAAAAGAAATCAATCTCTTAACCAATTTAATTAACAGATTCTAAATGAGATGACCAAGTTAAATTTACAGTTTTTACTCCTCAACGTGTATTTGAAAAATAAGTTTTTTTTGGCTCATTATTTTTAATTAATTTTAATTAATTTTTTTACCTTCATACTCAATTAGTTTAATCTTATGACAAAAAAGATAGGTGTCTAATCCCAACAACTTGATAAATAAATAAATGTATTAAAATGTTTTCAAAATTGACAATTGATTGCAACATGATTTTCAGCCGAGCCTCGAAACTTTCATACAGAAAATTGAAAACTTATTTTCAGAATTAAAAAGAATAAAATTAAATCTCTATTTCATTGATAAAAAAAATCAACACAGGAGAATTTTCACTAATTAAAATCCAGCCCAATTTAAATTCAAATTCATTGATAATACGAGACACTATATATTTTATTGCCAAACAAAAAAAAAACCATTAATTCATGGAAGAAACAAGTGGGATTCTGAGTTCAAATGAAGTGGGAATTGGAGGAATTTTGAGGCCTTTTATAGAAATGGACGTATTATAGCACAGTTGTGGGACTTGCGGTTTTTGTTTTAACTAAGTCATTATCAGCAATTTTTTATTTATATGTGTAATTTCTGGTTAAAAAAGATTTATTTGTGTAATTAATTTGCATCCTTTTTGTTAATTGCTAGCTTATTTTGCCACTTCACCTAAATAAATTTTGGGAAAATTAGGGAGAAGGACCTAAAAAAATTAGTATTTATTAAGAGGGATCTTAAAAATTGTAATTAATTTGAAAGACCAAAATTAAAATAAAATTTTACAATTATCAAATTATCCCTTATCAAATCCCTATATTATCTCTAACACCCTCCTATCTCAATTTGACAATTAATTATCAACTGAACTTGATTTTTCTCTCTCTCTCTCTGTATTTCTTTTTGATGCACCCAAAGTTTTTATCAATAGCAATTGTCTTCTTGTAAATTTAGAACAAAGAAGACAAATTAAAAAGAATCAACTAGTAAACTATTTATTGGACGGTATGTATATTCTGAACATTATTTTCTCTCCTTTAGTTTATTTGTACCAAATGTTTTCTAATTTTCTCATCGCCTCTATATAAAGGCTTTTTGGATGAATATAAAAGTATATATTTGTACCTTCCTTCAATTCCAACTATACATACATATGAACACAATCACACTACCTATACAAAGCTTCTTAGATGAATATAAATATAGTTCTTTGTGTTAATCAAAATATGAAAATCAAGTAAATAGTACCTATTCGTAACCTAAGCTTCACTAATAATTTTTCCAACCACATCGGAATGAGGGGCAAAATTGCCGTTGCGCAAGCTGGAAATTTTTCCAGCCATATTGGAATGAAAGGCTAGTAGATGCAAATATGAATGACTGAAAAATAGGACTCTATTTGTTGTCAATTGCTATATTTAGTTTTTAATTTTAATGAGGGGCAATTTAGTAATTATAAATTTATCTTTTAATTGATAACTGATAGTCAAATATTGAAATGATTCTTGAAGATAATGTAGGGATTTGACCAGTGATAATTTCGTAATTGTAAATTCATGTTTAAATTTTTGGTCCTTCAAATTAATTATAAGTTTTAAGATCCCTCCCCATAAATATTAATTTTTTTAGGTCCTTCTCCTCAATTTTCCCATACATTTTTTGGGGGAAAAAAAAAGGTGTTGGCTCAGTTATCATGGGTGCAAACACGCAGCGTGCTGGCGACTTTTTCTGGCCCACGAAGGGTTAGGATTCAATATTTTATTTTATCTTTTTACTCTTAGAATTCTTAATATAAAATCTAATTATCGAGTTGATTTTAATTTTAAATATAAAATTTATTTTTCATATTTATTAATTTTTTTAAAATTATTTCCATGAATACTCCCTCAACCATAATCAAATAGAAGAGGAGAGAAGGATATTAAGAAAGAAAATTATGGTATTTTAAGAAAAACATGACATATTTCTTATAATTAACAAACTTACCTAACTTTTTTAATCTAATCAAATTAGTTAAATAGGTCTTCTATTAAGGATTAAAGGAGTAATTTTCTTGTTATTGCGTTAAGATTTACCTTAAATCAAACACGTAGCTGATGAAACACTATTTATGGTGGCACCGCCAACAAAGGAACTCATTGAATTATTTGTTTGGGAAAAAATCAAAAAAATGTAATCTAAGACTAGTTTAGGTGATAAGAATGAATAAGGACAGTGTGTGATATATTGATATGTATATAAATCTAAAGTTCAATTTTCTAAAATAATCCTGGGCAATTTTTTAAATAATTTTTTTAAATAGAGTCATAAAGTGGGATGGTATGTGATTTGAATGGTAGTTGTTGTGTTTATTTTTAATTAATGAGGGTGGTGATGTTGCTTTTATGGTTTATGATAATGTTGTTTTGGAATTCACATATTGGAGTTGAAAGACAACAATATTATTTGAGCCAGAGTCCTCCTTTTATTGGTCTTTGGAATTACTCCCTTCTGTCTTTTTTATAAGATCCCGGAATTTGAATTGGTTTGGTTTTTTTTTTTTATAAATAATATCATAATTAGATGTGTTTGAATATTAAATGTCTTTTGACCACTTTTACTCCTAATTAATTTTTATTCTCTCTCATCATTTTCTTCTCATAGTAGTATTACATTTGAATTGGTTTATCAATAGAGATTATCTGTCTCCATTTAAACAAAGCTATAGTTGAAAATTTTTAACTGTTTGCTTCTCATAAGTGAAAGTAAAATTAAAAGTAGACCCCCTTTTTTTTTCCACAGAAAGCACAAAAAACTGATGGATTATATGACACACATTTTGCTTCTTCTACTTTATTCTTCATGTTTTCTGTCCCTTTCCTTTCTTCTTTTCTTGGGCTTTTTTTTTTTGGGACCTGGGTCTCTTGCCTTTCTAAATACACTTTATGATAATGGCTAAAAATTTGGAAGTGCTTTGTATACAATTTAGATTGTCTTAAGTCGAAACAAATTTGCATGAGGTGGATTTAGATAGAGATGGAAGAAAGAAAAGGAAAGAGAGTGAATGAATACTAAAACAAAAATTGCATCACATTTTCATCTTATTTTTTTAGTTGAATATATCCAATTTTTATTTTTATAATTATAATCCATACCTTAGTTAAAGAATTAGGCCCAATTCAAAACCAAGACAAGTTTATGTGAGCCCATATTGCGTTTTAGGCCCAACCCAACAATGATTTTCTTTGGACATAAGAAGTCG